GTAGATAATTGTTTCAAACAAATTTATGGGCATCAGACGTGTTTAAATTTGACCAACATTTCAAATTAGTATGTAAAGCCCAGGTGACTTTGGTCTTTTCATTTTAAAAGATCTGCATTTTATTCATTTTACTGGATTTTTCATCTCTACAGAAGTAAAGGAAATGTAAAAAATAAGATAAAAAGAATTTTTTTTACTGCAGTGTAATCTAGGTAGATTTATTTCCAGTTTCTGCTTAGTATACATGTTTATGTATCGGAAGATATATCCATTAAAAGGATAAATGAATATTGGCATCGGCCTACAGTTCCCGTATTGGTGCACTCCTATTAATGTGTACTATGTTTATAATGTGCTTATATCCCAAATCGTCAGTTATGTCATGGTAATGTAATTTAGTGAATGTTATCACTAAAATGTCTTATATTACAAAATGTCTTCCATACTCAAGTATGTTGAAACATTTGATATTCATATATTAACATTATACTGATATTGTACATTAAGCTTTTTTTTACTTTTCTTTTTTTATCTAGTTTTTGTGAATTAAAAATACATATGCGCTATGCAAATGTTAGAACAGCCCTGGTCAAATTATATGTTTTGTTGATTTTCTTAGTGAAAATAAGTTACCACAGCGAACAAACTTGAATAATACACCGTTTCTGTTTATTTACTAAATTTAACATTGGGAGAAAAAAAAATCATAAAACAAAATGTGCCATAACTTTTGCACAGGCCACATTTTATTCTTTTTTTCCTCCAACTTGTTACATTCAGCAAATAAACACTAACTGTGCATTAGAATGTGTAAAAGTGTGTTCTTTTTAAAGGATATGTTCATTTATTTTCATGTGAAAAATCAAGAGAAACAGTTAACTTGTCTATAATGTGTATATATTGTACAGCATGGTTGAAAAGGGCCTCTGAACCTCACTTGTCCGTTTTTGGGTAATTGGATAATTGGTAATTGGATTCGTTGTTTGCCTCTTAGCGTCTTTGCTGGCTGCCAGATCCCTTACCCTAAGCGAGAATTCCTGACCGAGGAGGAGCCTGAGGACAAAGCAGATAAAGTAAGATAAGAAACTGCGTGTGAATTTTGGGTGTACATAGTGCTTGTATGTAATGTCTCCAGCATAAAAGGAGGATTTTCTCTTCTTTTCATAACTACAGAAAAACCAGCAGCAGCAGGGGAACAACCACACCAATGGGGCGGGGCACACAGGTAACCCTGACAACAGCCACGCACAAGGCCCACCTCTGAAGAAGGTGAGAGTGGTTCCACCCACCACTACCTCAAGTGGCCTGATCATGACCTCAGACTACCAGGTAATACATACATGTACATATAACATATACTTGGTTTTAATGTATATAAAATTATATAGGTACAGAGAATAGATAATAGATGGACAGTAGCGCTGCTTATTAGAATTTGTTTTGATAAGCTAAAATGATTATTATTTAATCCTGTTCCTCAATCCAATACTGGCAGCAATAGCTTAAACTGTAATTGATTGCTACATCAGTACACTAGGTGGTAAAAGATGCCTTTTAGTCCCTATACAAGGAAGAAGTGTAGCTACTCACTCATAACAACAAAGCTGAAATTATATTCTTATTTGCAACCTTATTCAAAATTTCCGTTCCACCTTAAATGGTGCAGCAGTTCGATTCTGGCATCTTATTCAAATTGTACAGATGCCCAGATATAATGGTGCTCCAGTTAAGGTTGAGCGGAAAATTCAAATAAGAAGGTAACTTCAGCCTCGTCTTTCAAAAGCTCAAAGCAGTGGGACAGTTATTTTATATATACACACATTATTCAGGTGTTTTTTCCTATATAACTATTTTTGTATGTTACACCATTGTAAAATGGACTTAATATTAAGCCGGCAAGCATATATACAATAATGATAAATGATCATTATCAATATTTTGACTGTTTGGCTCAGCGCTTGCACTTTTTGTAGTTTAAGGTCTCTGAGAAAACAGAATTTTCTCTCACGACACTTAACATTAATTGACTCTTGGCTGAGTATGTATCACAAGAAAAAAACGGTGCTGGTTTAGCTGTAAATGTCTCTAAGTTGCTTCGCTCTGGACTGACTTTTGTCCCTGTTGCAGCGTTCAAATCCACATGCTGCCTACCAGAACCCAGGACCAAGCACATCACTGCCCCAGAGCAGCATGGGCTACTCCTCTACCTCCCAGCAGCCTCCACAGTACTCTCACCAGACCCACCGCTACTGAGCCCGCCCATGCCCTCCTGGCGCCCAACAGGGAGAATGTACTGAGGGAGGTGGGCGTGGCCTTGGGACCTGAACCCCGGCCACCCCTACCCCATGGGCGCTTGTCGCGTAGCTTTACCATAGAGACACCGCCGAGACCGTTCAGTAACTAAACACAAACTAACTTAACGACACATCCCATCACCGTAACGACAGAGCTACAGCAGAACATTGTCCTCAGCCCACAAAGGAAACTGAAGAAAGGAAAAACAAACCGAGGCGAGGGACGAGTACATGTTTGTGCCATGGGGCATTGTTCCAAACTTCGCGGAGATTCTGTGACCTTCCGGGGGGAAAAAAAAAAGGAAAAAAGAAAGTTAAACAGCAGAAAAATAAACAAACAAGTGATCTCACCATGTGGTACTGGACAGCTGGACTCAGAAGGGAGACTGGTTAGGTTTGAGGTAAATCTCCCCTCCGTTACAACAGCAAAGCCCCCCCCCACCTCCCTTAGCACCAGTCCCACCTGCCCTTCATCACTCAAGTCCTACGGCTTCTCCAGGACTAAAGCTGCTATGTGACTGCCAGCAGTGACGGAATGACTGTCTGTCAGTCTGTCTATCTGTCTGTCTGTCTGCCCGCCCTTACACAAACACACAGGACATTGCTGGGGACCGAATTTTCTGTGCTGGAGCTGCTGACTGGAGCATGATGAGTGCATCTAGTGCCCCCTGCTGGAGAGCAGTGGTAGTGGCCTCTGGGGTGGGGGGGAGAAACAAGACGGAAAACTTGAGTTTAGTAGTTTATAATTTAATGTTTTGGCTTTGTTTTCACGTTAGGAGAGGTAAGCAGCTTCCGTTTTTTTGCTGTGAGAGCAGCAGTTATGTGCAGTGGGTAATCCTTAGAACTTCATGACAAAAACCAGTTGTGTGGACAGCAGATTGAACATGCATTGTACTGTATTGTAATGAAATATTTTACATGAAGCAAGTATCCTGACAATAAAGTTGGAAATGTTTAAAATGGGACGTAGTAGCTTTCCTCTGTGTGCGTGCTGTGCTGTGTGGAGAAATTCTTTTTATGTGCTGCCAGTAATGGAACGCATCTTCAATAATGAATGAATCTCCTTTCCATCTCCTTTCCACTTCTTTCCCATTTGCTCTTATGCTGGTGTTACCATGTTCATTGAGTCAATTCTTTGAACTCTTTTTTTTATTTTATTATTATGGCAGGTTGAAGGTCGTCTTAAAGGTAGAATATTTCTGACCACTAACCTACAGAAAAAGTAAGACCTCAGTTCTTGGACCACCATGCTTCTTTTCACTTTGTGACTTACCATTATAGTTTAGTGTTTTAATGGGGCATTCTACAGAATGGGCTTTTAAGTGTGCAGATTGAGCCTCATCTTGGGCTAAACTACAAGGTCAGTTGAGATTTACCTCCTTTTAGTGTAAGACTGAAGCTATGTCGAGTAAGAGGCCTTAAAATTGCATTTAAAAGTTTGAAATGTGAAATATTTATTACTGTTCATTGTAAAATCTGAACTGAGGTACATGAGTTTTGTATTGAGATACTAATAATTTATCATTTTCTTCTCCCTTTATAGCAAAAGGCATCTTAATAACACAGCCATGAATATGTGGGATGCTAACTCTTCCATGTGCTTAAGCACAAAATCTTAGTTCTACAGAAGTAAATCTGTGAGGAAAGGAATCTACTTTTTAGTAATTCACGTTTACTTTATTGTTCCTATTAATGCTGTTCTGTTGGTTCAGCACCTGGACTAATCTGTTGTCCACACCTCAGTTGTTGGAGCTTTAGCATTTCATTTTAGACACAAGTTTTTAAAAAAGGAACAGTAGTGCTTACAGACCTCAGTTCCCAAATGCTGGATGTGCTAAGTTCAGCTGCAGTTTTATAGGGAACTTTGTACTTAAGGGAGATTTTGGACCAGTAATTGTTTACTTAACGGAAACGCCACCGATTTTACAAACTTTCTGCATAGTTAAATGGTTGAAATATAAACAGTCATTCAGAGTGTTTTTGTGTGAAATGCTTCGTTCTAGAGAAACATACCAATCAGAACAGCTCACAGTGGTGGAGATGGGAACCAGACGTCCACCTCTAAAAGCTCCCTCACAGAAAGTTGCTACATGAAATGTTTGTGAACACACTGCCTGATGTCTGAGACGCTGTTTCACGGTAGTTTTGTCATAAGGTTTTGGCCTAAAGCGTGTTTTAATCGATTTGTTTTAACCTGTTCATGGTGGAAGGATACATGGATACATGAAGGGTGTTCTAAGGCAAAACAGTCTCCGAAGAAAACTCCTTTTTTCAGATTTACAGTGGTTCCTATCAGCACCACTGAAAAGAAATTAGTAAGTTTATCTACAATGAATAATTTCTCATCAAACCACTCTGAATGACTGTTTACATCTCAACCACTGAATTATGAAGATATTTTTAAAAATCTGTGGAATTCACCTTTAAGTTTCTGCATACTTCTACTTAAGTCATTACTCGTTAAAATAACAGTAATCTTACTTAAGTGTGATTTTAGCTGCCCAGCTTCAGTGATGTGGATGTTGCTCACAAATCCATTACAGCCGCTAAGCTAAAACCCGCCTTCAAACAGCGCCCTCGGTTCCACGTCAATCATCCCATCCTCTGTGTCTGATTGGAGCACCGCAGCCAACGTCGACCGTTAAATCCTCGTTGCTCATTCGTGATTGGCGGAGGTTGTCGTTAAGCCCCGCCCCTGAGCGGATTGTTTGGAGTGGTCAGATGGAGGGGGACACACAGGATGGCAGCCCGGACTGGAGTAGCCTAGCCGCGGACATGTGGTCGAAGTGAATTTTGAGGAAAAATCCGAATTTGGTGAGCAGCACAATTCATTTAATTTTGTTTACATTTATAATGCCCTCTAACGGGGTTTGATACGTGTTGTTAAGTTGCAGTAAATCCACTTCCATTGCTGTTTTTAATGGAAACTCCAGCCTGGGGTGGCACAGCGTGTGGCATTTGCCTTTAACGTATGTATATGTGTATGTGCTGAGTGTGAAGGGGAACGATAACCTAACGGTCTAAAATGTCTCCATTCTTTCCTTCGGAACTGAAAACGCGACGGTAAATGATGAGAAAAAGTTTCTCTCACGTCGAGACTGCATATAAATTGTGGTCCTGAACTAAACGGATATCTGGGTCACAGAGAGCAGCAGCACTGTCGACGTTACCGTTGATTACAGTTGACAGCAAATGAGTATTGAATTTGGCGTATTTTGCATCCTGTGCACATTTTCAGCAACTTACGTGCCATATGAGTTAGTTCACACCTCTTTTGTTTTCATATTGGTCTCAGAAAACCCAAGTCTCAAAGGGGAATAACGCCTACATTTCTGCAGAATTCAGGCATTGAAGGGGAATTCCACCATTTTTTTTTATTTCTGCATAATTCAGTAGTTGAGATGTTAACAAAGTCATTCAGGGTGGTTTGATGTGAAGTAGTTCATTGTAGAGAAACTTACAGACTCTGATTTCTTTACAGTGGTGGTGATGGGAACCAAGCGTCACAAAGTCTACAATACAAATATAGACATTTAATTTTTTATCCAAAACCACACATGTCTTCTGAGGTTTATATGTAATGTTTATAATGGTAAAATAGTAGTATATCTGGATGAAGTGTTTTAGTTTGGGTACTATTTTGTCTGCATGTATCCCTCCACCATGAATGGCTTCTAAAAAAAAACACTTTGGGCCAAAACCTTATCTCAAAATAAGGTAAAGCAATGTTTCAGGCATTAGGCAGTATATACCTTTCTACTTTCTTTGAGGGGGGCTTTTAAAGGCATTACATATTTCAGACATCTGGTTCCTATCACCACCACTGTGAACAGTTCTGACTCAGTCAGTTTCTCTAGAGCAGAGCTTCTCATAGAAACCACTTGGAGTGACTTTGTTTACATCTCAAGGATTAAAGTACACAGGATTTTTTTTGAATAGTTGGTGCAATTCCCCTTTAAGTAGTAAACACACATTTGGAGTGGTTTGATGAAAAGTGGCGCATTGTAGAGAAACTTAAGTACTAGTTTCGTTACAGTGGTGGCGATGTGTGCAGTATTGCCATTTCATTTACTATCCAAAATGACCAGTGGACCTACTTGTGTCTTCTGAGTTTCTAGATGTAATGCTGAGCGGTAAACCTGAAAAAATAAGGTTATTTTTGGTACTATTTTGCCATGCAATGCCATGCACGTACCTCTCTGCCTTACATGTATTTTAAACGTGAGCCCAAAACGTTCTCAAAACCATTATAAAACAGTTATGAAGGAATTTCTCAGGAATCGGTTGGCATGTATTTTCATGCAGTAACTTTCAGTGTGGTAGCTTTCAGAGGAATCAAACAGTTCGGATGTCTGGTTCCCATCTGGTTCTGAGGCTGAAACTCATTTTATTTGAGAATTAACCATTATACGGTTATACCGTGGTCAAAGTTACAAATAAAAGCAGAGAAAACACATGTAGGTCAATTGATTATTGTGTGTGTGTATATATATATATATATATATATATATATATATATATATATATATATATATATATAGTAAATTAAATCGCTATATTTTATGTTGTAGACATTGTCTTGGTTCCTGTCACCACCATTGTAAAGAAATCTTTCTTCGAACCACTCAGAATGGCTTTTTTTTTAACATCTTATCAATTGAATATTGCGGAGATAGTGGAAAAAGTGGAATTTCTCTTTAAAAGGACCACCCTCAACTTTTATCCTGCTGATCACAAAACAACAAGAAGCTGTTTGGTAAGAAATTGGAGCACAAAATGTTACCTACAGCTTTCCTCATGAAGAACAAGCTGGGAGAGACAATGCAGAAAGCCTGCATCATGCCCAGAGTTATCTGCGTTGCAATATTGATGGGATTTTACAAGTGGGCTCTACTTGACTTATGAATAGGTAATGGGCAGCCGTAATGCTGCTCTCTCTCTCTCTTTGCTCCTTAATGGAGTGGCTGTGGCAGATGAAGCAGGATGAGCATGGCCTTCCACACACAGACACATTCAGGATGGGCTTGATTAAGTTAATGGCTGTGTTCACACCCTCAGGCTGCCGTTTGCCAACGTTGCCATTGCATATTCGCCCCATGCGCGTGTGAATGTGAACCATTCTGGCATGTTGTTTGTGTCCGAAGCTTAGCTGAATGCGATGGACTGAGACTCGGAGAGGAAGAGGAGGAGGGCAGGAGCGCTTTTCTTTATTTTGAAGAGAAGAGGTTGGGAGAAGGAGGTTGGGGGAGGGAGCGCCGTGCATGGGAGCGCTCCTCTGTTGCCGTGTGAACGGGCCACTATTGTCCCGGCAACCTTTCAGAGTGGTTTCCCTGAGGTCCCTGACACTCACCCCTCCCCCACATCCCTCTGTCCCACACATAACACAAGCTAACTCGCCATCCCCGTCCCATCCTGCCTGAACACTACAGCTCAGAAATGCTCTCCGGTTCTCTTCGATGGCCTACTTTGGGAGACACTCACAAAGACGTAACAGGCTAAACTCACTGTTTCTCTCTCATCCTGCCAAAACACATAAAATTAGTCCATGAGTCCAGTTCTTTACAAAAACACAAAGGAGAATTCCACCGCTTTTTCAAAATTTCTGCTTAATGTGATGGAGATGTGAACAGCTCGTTCAGAGTGGTTTGATGTGAAATGGTAAATTGTAGATAAGCTTATTGACTTATTCATTACAGTGTTGGTGATAGGAACCAGAGGTCACGGTATCTACAACACAAATATAATTGATGTATTATCCAAAACAGCTAGTAAACGTACACATGTCTTATGAGTTTCATATGTAATGTTGTTGATGGCAAGTGATACAACTGAGGAAAAAATGTTATTTGGGAACTCTTGTGCCTCATGACACCCTGCATGTACCTGTACACCAGGAATAGATTAAAAAAATATATTTTATGACAAAACTTTGTCTTAAAACTACTGTAAAACAATGTCTCAGGCACCAAGTAGCATATCCGTAACTGTTTCTTATAATATTTTTATGTGAGAGAGCTTTTAAAGGCCTTTAACTCTTTGGGTGTCTGGTTCCTATCACCACCACTGACTTGGTACATTTCTCTAGAACCGTGCAGTTCACAGCAAAACACTCTGAATGACTCAGTTGTTTAATTATGGAAACATTTTGGTGGAATTTCCATTTAAATGTACCAACCTAAGGTTTAATCACGCTTACCACATTGTAGAGAAAAACTGTTTGGAAAAATGAAGCAAAAAACATTGCGTAACCATCTTAACCATTGATTTGTGCTGAAATTTTGAAAAAACGATGCAGTTTCCCTTTAAATAAAACAATAGTCCACTTCTGTTTGATACACTTTGGCGCACACATATATGCAAGCTAACTCAGCCTCTCATCCTGCCAAAACACATCGGATTCAAAAAATACTCTCCTTTCTAATGCTTTGGCATGCTTATACACACACACACACACACACACACACACACACACACACGCTCAGTGAGTTAACACACAGCCAAACTCACAGTGACTCTCATCCTGCCAAATGCACACAGCTCAAAAATACAGAGCAGTTCTCTTTAATAGTCTACAGTTTGGCACGCACACTCGCTCCACACATATTGCACAGAGTAACTCACCATCGCTCTCCCGTCTCTCTGGAACACATACGACTCAAAAATACAAGCCAGCTCTCTTTGATGGCCGCACGCTTTAGCACACCCACACACACATTCACCAACACAGATAACACAGACTAACTCACCATCACAGGAGTGTTTCCTGCTGAACTGTAAATTCTGTACTGTAATGATCTGTTTACAGCATTTACTGTCAAAGTATCTCCAAGATTTGATCACTTTTTAAATATGAGGCATTCCAGATGTTAATTTTAGTATAACTGTATTCTTGATATTATACAGCTTTCTAAGTTCATGTTATTAGCCAGTGTGTACACACACAGTGAGGTCGAAAAACCCTGAGACCACATTGAAAGTCTATTATTGTTTTTTCTTTTTATTTAAAGTGGAATTCCACCAATTTTTCAAAATGCCTAAATGGATAAGATTCTAACAAAGTCATACAGAGTGGTTTGGTCTGAAATGCTTTCCTCTAGATAAACGTACTGAGTCAGAATTGTTGATTACTGAGTCAGAATTGGTGGTGATAGGAACCAGACATCCACCTCTAAAAGCTCCCTCATAGAAAGCTATTACATTAAATGGTTAGATGGATGATGCCTTGATTTATAAAATCTTTGAGAGAAATATTTGATCCGAATCATATTTAAAAAAAAAAATACATTCCTTGCAGAGAAGCACATGCAGGGTGCTGGAAGGCAAAGCAGTACCTAAAGAAAAACTTTTATTTTTTGGTTTGTTTGTTTTTCAGTTTTACCAGTGTTTCATATAGAAACAAGTAAGACACGTTTAGGCTAACTGGTCATTTAGGATGGTGAATAAAACCGTTATATAGGTGTTGTAGACACCGTGTTTCTATCATCACCACCACAGTAAAGAAAAGAGTCTATAAGTTTCTCTAAAATGAACCGTTGCACATCAAACCAATCTGAATGACTTTGTTTTCATCTCAGTGACTGAATTATGTAGGAATTATGAAAACTCATTGGAATTTCACTTTAAACCTGGAAATTAACAACAAAGTTTTAGAATTTTGGGGAAAAAAAATCACTGTTTCACACATTCTGCACTATTTGTAGGTCACTATTCAGGTTTAATCAAATTTGTGACATTGTCTGTGTTAAGGCCTAAGTCAGGATATTTTGTTGTATGTCCTTCATTGAAGCTCGCGTTCAGACGACTCTCAGGTGGGT